TAAGCGGGATATAAATAAATTTTATTATTATTATTATTATTATTATTTTGAATTAGGTGTACTATAGACAGGGGTCCTTCCACACTCCACAATTACAGCACTGTGATTCCACTTTGACTATCATGGTGACATCCTGTGGAATCCTGGGGTTCGTAGTTTGCTGAAGCATTAGGGTCCTCTGGCTGAGTGTTCTAAATAGCCCTCCCTAAACTTCATATCCCAGGATGCCATAGGATGGAACCATGGCAGTTAAAGTAGAATCACAGTGTTATAATTATGTAGTGTGGTGTGAAAGGGCCTCTGGGCTAGAAGGAAGTGATATTCATAGGCGAGCTGAAAGCTTTTATTGAACTGACTTCAGCTCATGGAAAAGAACATGCTTTTGAGTCACAGCCAGAGAACGTCAGGAAGGAGATGAACAGTCTGTTTGGCCTTCCAAATGTTCTCAACCCCACCACAGGCTATCCCAATGAAAGGATAACAGCTCCCCAAATCCACCAGCCAGCATGGTCAATTTTAGCCAATGGCTATTACTAGGCTACTTTGGATGGGGTGGGGTGGGGCTATGCCTCTGGCCTGCTGCACACTTGTTCCTATCTCAAAGTGTCCACTTCCACTAAAAATATCCCTCTCCTCTACTTGCTGAATAGAGCAGGGTTAGGCAACCCAAGGCCCGGGGGCTGGCCCCCCGAGGCCTTTGGACCGGCCCCAGGACAGTCCTGCCGCTGCCGCCGCCACCCCCTGCCATGATGATATTGATTATTGTTGTTATTGTTGTTCTTGGAGTTTATTGTTCTTGGGGTTTTCTTGGCAAAATCTCCACAGGGGTTTTGCCATGGCTTTTCTGGGGCTGAGAGAGTGTGCATGCATATTTTTTAATTTTTTTAAATTTTAAATTTTTTTAAACTATTTATTTATTTATTTATTTATTTATTTTTGGTGCTTCAGCCCCCCAATTGTCTGAGGGACAGCAACCCGGCTCCCAGCTCAAAAAGGTTGCCTACCCCTGGACTAGAGGGAGGTTGGAAGATTCTGCAAGCTACAATTCCAAAAAAGGGAACATTCCCAAGTCCTGCTTGTTTCTTTCTACTAGCATGGTGTCATAAGACTCTAGTCAACACATAGTGGATGAGTGGAAGGGAACACTTTGAGAAAAGGAGAGTTATGCAACAGGCTAAGGGCCTCACCATACATGCAAAGTAGTCTGATGGCAAACCCCAGACCCACAGCCTCCATGATACAGCCAGGTTTTACTTCTGGACTGGAAACTGTTAGTCTGGGGCAAGGTATTCCTCTCAGATCTACACCTCTATTTGAGCCTTGACCTCCTGGCCTCTAGCTTATGAGTAGAGACATAAAGAAAGTGTTATTCCAGTTCTATCTTCACAGGTTACACATTCCCTATGTACTTTTAAAAACACACTCCTTATGCCTTAAGATCCCCGGAGAGCACCTGTTTCAGGCAAATGCTTCTAGACCGATTTCCCTATAGAGGCAAATGCTTTCATGGTACCCCATACAAACTGAACAGTCACATATATTCCTCAGCATCATCAAGTAGAGAAAGCATGATCCAGATACAAGGTCACATACACAATGGCCATGTCTTTGTTTTTTATTTCATTGAGAGCTTGCTGCGCTGTCCTAAATTTACTATACATTAATCCAGCAAATGAACCCTTGAAGGATTACAGGCATGTTCCAAAGGAGTGTGAAACATCCATCTGACCAAGTGTACAAACTGATCATGGAGCACTCAGCAAGGGACAATAGTCTTTTGTGCATGGCCCTGATAGTTCTGCTATCAACATGAAAATGCCACAAAGAAATAACACACATTCCAGGCTAGCATTTAATTGAAAGTATCTCCCTTTCATGTTACATTGTGTTAAATGTTATTTTCCCACCCTTGCTGCCCTGGATCACTGTTCACTTTCATGCTTGTATGGCGGTTCCAAAAGAGAGATGGACAGACTGTAAGAGAGCATGCAATTTAACTGATAAGGCATCAGAGGAAACAAGTAGTTCATCCAAGGACAGCTCACTCCTTCCCTCATTCTCCCCTGTGCCCAGAGGAGTTGTACGTACCCATCTCCGACCACCACACACTTGATGGCTTGCATATCTGTGGTCTAGCAGTGTTGTGGAGTTCACTGGGTCTCTCAGACAAAGGTAACAGCTCACCAACGTTGCCAGCAGGAAGTCTTCTACAGTTATAACAAAACCGAAGCTGAATTGAACAGCAGGTTGTGGGTTAGGGAGGAAAGGGAACAGAGAATGTTTCTCAACCCGCCCACTAGTCCCCGAGTAAGCCCTGAATATTTGCTGGGGGAAGGGCCTGCAGCTTGAACGATATTTCTCTTTTTGCACACTGAAAATGGCTAAACACTTCCTTTTTCATCACACTGTGTGGCTCCAGCCTTTGGACACTGAGAAAGAGGTTGCTATGCAGCTGCTACACAGGATGAAGAACCATCAGAGGAGCAGAAGGAGAACAAGGGAAATAATGAAACACAGAAAGTGGTCCTTCCCTTCTTTCCCCTTGCACTTCAGTTGAGGAGAGGATGGCTGGGGAGATTTGTTTGTCATCATAGCTGTCTGCTTCATAGCTGTCTCCAAGGCTTTGGTGAAGAAACAGAGAAAAGATACTTTCTTCTCATGCCAAATAAATAAATAAATAAATAAATAAATAAATATTTACAAAACCCCATTACGTTAGCCCACTCTTTAAAAAGATAAATATTCTAATCTATAACATTGTCCATATTTCCATGAAATGCTTTCTGTATGCAGGTGGGATGCACTGATGTACCTGGAACCCATGGAAAGGTTCATCCTCCCATTGCTGCCAACAGATTTGCTACTGTTGCCATTTTTGCAACTGCTGTTTCTGCCACTGTCCAAATCCCAGTAATTCTACTAGGAAACAGGACACATTGACAGGATCGCACCTGGTTACTCAGCAGAAGCGCACTTCTCCCTGCTGAATTGTTTGTTTGTTTTAAAATAACTGTTCAAGCACCAATCATGGATAGAACTAAAATGGAGTGAGCTATCAAAAGGGTGAATTTCTGTTACGTTCTTTGTACTGATTATTTCTAAGTTGATTCACTTAAAAACAAGTAAAGAAGACTTGGTGTGCATCTCCACTATAGATATAATGCAGTTCGGAAAAATCAACTTTAGAGGGATTGATCCCCCTATTTGCACCGAGGACAGGCTGCCAAGTAGATGAATTTCTCAAAGGGCAGCAGCAAACATGGCGCTACTTCATAGGCTTCTTAGTCATGCTCAGAATGGAGGACATTTTGGAATTCTTCCTGGACAGAAGGCTAAAGTGTAGGACATGTCTTGGAAAAGGAAGATGCCTGTTTACGCTGCCCATTCCATATACAAAAGCTAAAAGAACTGGGAGAAATATCTTATTTTTTGCTTTGGTGAAGGGACACTCTTCTTCTTACCCTAGCAGAGGGCAGAAAGTTAACTTAGGTGATGCAGGCCGGATTGTGTGGCGTACACAATTCTGCTGTCTAACACTGGTCTGCTGCACTTTGCCCCAGTGGTTTGCTTTCTATGGTGGTTTCCTCACCCTAACCAATGCCAGGGCCAGTCTTGACTGACCCAATTATCATGAGGAAAGGAAATCAACAAAACCAGGGTGCAATGAAGGAAAATGAAAATGTTAAAACTGAGTCATGGACCCATCCACACATCCTACGGTCAAACTCAATCTATGTGCATCCTTCAATTAACCTGTTCCATAATAATTAACTCTGCAATAGCCACCACTGATATCACAACAATTCTCTTTTGTCATCTCCTCACACCTTCTCAGACACAGCCATTATAATTTCCCTAACGCACTAGATAATTAGTAATGAACAAATAACAACACCAAAGAAAGCTGTATAATCTCTGTAGTTGGATGAAAACCCGCTCTTTGCTGTCACCATACACATTTACGCCTAGGGTGACCATATGCACTTGTTTAGATAGAAGAGTCTGCTGTTTGAAGGTGTCCTCTTCTCTGAAGGGCCACACAATCCAAATCTAGTTTCCAGACAGAGAAGACTTTCAGCATAAGATTTGAGATACCTGGAGACGAGACTGAGAAGGCACAGAGTCTCAGTTTGCCCCCCACTGTAGTTAAAATGTGTGTTTTGTGTGCTTTCAAGTCATTTTTAACTTATGGTGATCCTAAGACAAACCTAAAGAGCCAGCATGGTATAGTGGTTTGAGTGTTCAGCTATAACTCTGGAAACGAGGGTTCAATTCCCTGTTTGTCAATGAAACCGCTGGGTGACCTTGGGCAAGTCACACACTCTCAGCCTCAGGGAAAAGCAATGGCAAACCTCCTCTGAACAAATCTTGCCAAGAAAGCCCCATGATAGGTTCACCTTAGGATCACCATAAGTCAGAAGCAACTTGAAGGCACACACCACCAACAACAAGACAAACTTATTATGGGAGGTTTCCTAGCAAGATTTGTTCAGGTGAGATTTGCCTTTCCCTTCCTAATAGGCTGAGAGAGAGTGACTTGCCCAAGGTCACTTAGTGGGTCTCCATGGCCAAGCAGCATTTTGAACCCTGTTCTCCAGAGCCCTAGTCCAACACCCAAACGACTGCACCACCCTGACTCTTTTGCACCTTGTTTTGGGAAGATTACCTGATTTTACCAGATCAATGTATTTCTATTTAAAATACAGTGCTTCTTTCAAAAGTAACCCTGAGCATATAAATTAACATATATACATTCTATGTAAACCTGTGATCTGTTTTTGAGTTAGGTATATTCCCCTTTCCTGGCAATGCCACACTTTTTGTCCTCACTAAGCACTACCAAAGCCACACTTCTGTGGTTTATTCTCTTAAAGGTGCAGCTATGCAGAAATAAAGCAGTTTGACACTTGTGTAACTGCCATGACTCAGTGCTATAGAATTCTGGGATTTATAGCTTTATGAGAGATTTAGCCTTCTCTTTCAGAGAACTCTGGTGCCACAACAGAATACAAATCTCAGGATCCCATAAGATCGAGCTATGGCAATTAAAGCGGTGGTAAACTGAATTATTTTTCCTGGGTAGATGCAGCCTGAGTTATCCTAGAGCAAGTAGGTGGGCAACTGTATCCCTCTAGATCAGGGGTCAGCAACCCAGGGCCCAGGGAAGACCCCACCATGCCTGCGCTGTGCGAATTCACATGGCGCTGGAGCGGTGGGGCCTTCCAAAATGGCGCCTGCATCATGTGCGCATGCACGGCGCTGTTGGGCCTTCCAAAATGGCGCCCCCCATGCGTGCATGCATGCGTACAACGGCGGGCATCATGCACATGTGTGCGTGGGGGGCAAGCACGCGCACGTGCCCATCTGGCCCCAACACCATTTCCCCCCCACCCGGCCCGCCGGCAACAAAGGTTGCCGACCCCTGCTCTAGATACTTTTGGCCTACCATTCCCTCCAGCCCTAGCCTGCAACACTGAGGGATTATGGAACCTGCAGTCCAAGCATATTTGGAGGCTCACAGTTGCCCAGTCCTGGCCAAGAGGTTCACACAACTGTCAGCCCCAGAGAACAAAGCATTGAGAACATGATGCAAACAGGGAATGGGGGCCCATGCTGAAATGTATTTCTTTAAAAGTGAACAGGTATATTTTACCAGCTCTATTGCAGTGATTGCTTGGTTATTCCAATAACGGCTTTCATTACTTACTACCACGCTCCACTTAACATGAAATTATCACATAATTAATGATTTCAATTTCATCTTATTATAGCAAACAATACTGCAGGTTTGTTATCCACTATGAATCAGCTGTAGAGTCACGGTGAGGTAATTTTTGCCTCTGTGGAGGAACAGACAGATTATGGTCTTAGATATTATGAGGGTGACAGAGCTTTTCACAATATTCCTGACCTCCCATGAGAAGGCAGCATAGCAACAATTATGGTACAGCACAAAAGGTAATTGCTAAATTACCATCAATCGGTCTTCCTGTTCAATCAATATCAAGCTCTTCTCCTTGCAGATCTTCCTCCAGTGTCCTCTGAAGATCTCTCTCCTGCAATCTTTTTCTCAGTTGGTCTAAGAGGTCTGTCTCATTAGTCTCATATTATTTATTCCTTTATTACCCCCACCATTCTTCAGATCCTGCTGTACTCCTATGCAGGGCAAATGAGGTAGCGGGGGGAGGGCGCATAATACAAATGTATATGTAGTCCAAAAGAGGGTCCAGGACCTGACTATGTTGCATTATTATTATTATTATTATTATTATTATTATTATTATTATTATTTTGATCTTTCTTGGTGGTTGTACTGTTATTTGTCTTTTCAGATATTCATTGTAAAACAGAAGAATTTAAAAGAAAATAATTATGGTACACAAAATTTCAGTGATGTATTCAAGTCTTTGTCTCATGTCTCCACTTTCAAGTCTCATGTCAAGTCTCAAGTCCTTGCAAGATACCTTCAGGTCAAGTCTCAAATCTGGAAGCCAACTTTTAACAGCAAAAAAAGGGAAACAGGGCATATTTCTTGGAGGGGAACAGAAAACATATTAAGCAACAAGCTTGAGGCAAAGGTTAAGGTCTGCTTGGCAACCTGCTCCCAATGCACAATTAAGGATCCTTCCAACTCAACCCCATTGCTTTACACATTTACTGTTCCCCTCCGAAAAACATGATCTGTGCTCTGGGGATTGGTATTGCTGCTCCTTGAGGTGAATGATGCCATTAGGTCAGTCACTAAAAATATGCAAGTCACAAGTCGAGTCAAGTCATTTATTGCTGAGTCAGGTCTGACCTAAGTCAAAGAAGAAACTTGAGTCCAACTTGAATCCAAGTCAATTGACTCAAATCTACATCACTGCAAAATCTGAAAGGAAGTTGGACTCCTCAGGAGTTGTGCTTACATTCATAAACAGAAATGGCCTGACAGTGGGAACATAGAACCAAACAAACCCTCCCATCTCCAGCTGAGCTCCAGTAGCTGGAAACCCTCCCCTGTTTCTGCACTGCAACCCATTGTACAAAACAGCCACCTCCTTCCCCCTTTTTTCTTTGCCTTAATATATTCATTTATTTAGTAAGAAAGAAACACAAACAAATGAAATACAACATGGGCATAGACACACATATATACAAAAGAGAGGAAAACTGTAAATAACTCCTCATCTATTCCCCAGCCAACCTCCCTCTCCCCCCTTAACCCTTGTTGACTTCTTGCTCTTCTCCGACTGCAGTTTTCAACTTTATCACATGATTACTCCTCTCAAATTAATGTGCAATTGCATAAAAAACCCTCTTCTATTACAGAGAAAAGATTTCTTTTTTAAAAATCAAATCCAATAACTACCGGTACACTGTATCTTGTCACTCTCCTTGTGCCTTTATCCTTAAGATCCCCCTCTGGTTCTGTGTTATACTCGGACCTCAAGGTGACTACTATGTTAGTTGAGAGAGAGAGAGAGAATCTGGCTGCTCATTCCCACTATGATTTAAAACAAATTGCTGATCGGGTTATATGTCTGTTGTTCCCACTTGAAACCGTTTCCAAACTGACTGCACTTGGTTTCAATCAAGATAAAGCGAGGCAAATGCAAAAGAATGGCACTTTCCTGACACTAGTTTGTTGGTGGTTCTTTTGAAAAGAAGCGATTAGCAAGTGTGTTCAGCAAATGGGAATGAAGGACCTGAATCACATCAAACTGAAGGGGAGAAGATTACTGTGACAGAAGGTTGGCACATCCTCACCAGTTTTGGGGGAAATCCACCATTTCCCTTCCCAGGACCCATCCTACATTCCAACCTTCTGTCCATGAGGAATTTCAAAACACCCTCCATTTTGAGCTTGACTAGGAAGCATATCCTCCAAGTTGTGCAAGGCTGGGAGGGCACCACTTCAACTCCCCATGTCCTCCAAGTCCCCTGGGATGCTTCAGCCATGGGTGTCATATAAAGAACTCTCCCCTGGGATTCATCAGCCATGGGTATCATATGGAGGACTCTCCCCTGGGATGCCTCAGCCATGGGTGTCATATAGAGGAATCTCTTTCCCCGTAGTTTGAATCCATTGCTCTGTGTCATAGGAGTCTATCACATGGGGAAAATTGGAAGTTTAAACTGGACAGAACCTGTGGTTATCCAGGGTATTAGGTACAATTGCGCAATTGGTTTTCAGATGATGTCGTGCGCAAACTGCTTGGAATCCAAACAGAAAGTGACATGAATCAGGGAATAGTCATTTTTGGGGAAATGCTGTGTTTTCATTTCCATTTCATTCATGAATTCATTTTCTTTGCATAATTGCTGTGGTGTGAAAGCTATTTGCAAGAGTCTCTCTGTTTTTGTGCTTGTTGCCAGATTTTCCCATAGTTCTTTGCTGTGCTTTGTTGTGCTGAGAGGGATTCAGCCTTTGATGTTTAAGCCAAGGCTCTTAAAGGATCTGCAGGCACATGCGCACGCACAGACAAACACACACACACACACACACAGAAACAGCTTGCTCCTCTCCCTCATATGGCTCTCTCTTCCTCCAGCCTTCCCCATTAGCTGAGCTCTGAGGAAGGCAGGGGCGTAGGGAGGATGAGAGAGAAGTTTTATCTTTCCTACTTCTTTGGGTAATGTTCTGTTCTTTTTACTTGGGTTGGGTAGCATTTCTTGGAAAGTAAGGGCAGCACAGTATATATTTTATAAAGAAAATTGTGTAATAAAATTGTTTATTTCTCTGGGTGATTTCTGGTAACACAACTACTGCTTATGTGTGCCTGTACAAAAAAAGTTATTTCCAAACCATCAACAGGATTTGTCCCCATTTGTGTGAAAACCAAATGCACTTTCTACCCACTTTCTCACTTTAGTAATTTATCGCGTTGTTGTGCTCTGCATATGAAAATCATTTGTGTATTTGCATGCTTTTCTGGGATGCATCCACTTTAATCATTTTTGGGATGGAAACACATAGGTGTGCTTCCCCGTGTGATAAACTCCATAGTCTATGGAGCAGCAGAAAACAAGCTTGCTCCATCCTCAATATGACACTCCTTCAAATGTTTAAACAAGGCTACCATATCACCTCTTAATTGTCTCTTCTCCAGGCTAAACATACTCAGCTCCCTAAGTTGCTCCTCATAGCGCATGGTTTCCAGACCTTATGTATATATTTCTATAAAGGGTTGGCAAGTTTGTATATAAACTTGCACTGAATTTCCTTTTAACAAATTAGTCAATTTATCTGATATAGTGAGATCCAATGGTTTTTCTACCCAACTTTCCAATTATATCCTCTCTT